TTTATTCCGGTTCCGTCTCGGTATATAGTGGAACGGGACGGAACCGATGAACCATCCCGGTAATTCCGGTCCGGTTCATCCCGGTACCGGTCAAAATTCCGGTCAACGGATTTCGGTCCGATCCAGTACCGATTCATTCCGGTTTGATGACCCGGTTCCGATCCGTTGACCAGTCTTAATTATGATTAATAGTAATATTTTATGTAGTTCTAAATACATAACAACAACAAATACATACCTAGTGTAATTACCCCTTCTATGAGATATTGTTTTCAATAGATCTTCGGCTCATAAAAAAAACATTTCAAAAAAGGTCGAGTAATTTCAAAGTGCAAATAAAAATAAAAAGTATTAATGAATCATTGTCCCAACTAACCAATCAAGTTAGGTTATTGGTGTCATGTGCAGTGTTACGAAAGGCGCTCGCCTCCTCGCCAAAGGCGAGAGGCGAGGCGAGGTGAGGGTGCCTCGCCATTCTCTGGCTAGGCGAGGCGAGGAGAAAAAGGCGAGCCCTGGCGATTTGTCGCGCTGAAATGCGAGCGAAAGGCGCCGCCTTTTTAATTAAAAAATTTTGACTTAATAATATTAGTCCAAATTATGATTTTTTTTTTTTTTACTTTTGAAATTCTTCTGAAATCATCCACATCGCGACTTTCTCTCTCGAGAGATCGATTGACTCTTCTCTTCTCCTCCATCGCGTCTCTGCTCCCTCGCTCTCCCTCGCTGTCGCGTCTCTGCTCCCTCGCTCTCCGTCGCTGTCGCGCTGTCGCGTCTTCTCCCTCGCCGACGGCGGCCGACGACCCTCCGACCCTCGCAACTCTCACTCTCTGTTTTCAGGTAATGTTTTCCGATTTCTCTCTTCTTCTTCTGTTCTTTTTTTTTCTGTTCTTCTTCTTCATTTTTTTTACTTTTTTTGTAAGAAGCAGTCAGGCACTAAGTGCTTACTGCTTTGTGTAACTGTAAAGTGTAATTTTTTTTTAAAAATTCTTTTCCTAATTATTTGTTCCAATATTTCTAAACAGCCAATTAATTGAATTTAATAATCAATGGCGGATGCTAGCAAAAAGAGGGATATTGGATGGAATTAGTGTCTATTATTGGTTTTTGAATTGAATATTTGCTAATATGTGTTATTGCTATTAAGACTTTGGATAAAATATGCAATTAAATATTTTTAATTTTTGGTATTAATTGGCGCCTTTATTCAAAAAGGCAAGCGCCACGGCGAGGCAGGCCCTTGTCGCCTTTTGTCGCCTCTCGCCGTCCATAACACTGGTCATGTGCCAGATGCCCACCATTATGTTTGGGAGGGGCATCTTTTTTTCTCTTTGGTTGCAGTGTTATTCTGAATGATAATTTTGTGCTAAACATTTTTGCACCTTCTGACATAAAGCCGTGAATGAAGACTACGAAAATATGATGGGACAAGTAAGAAACTGCAGTTATACTTAATAAACCATACTCCAACATGTAGAGTGTACTTTTTGCAATACTCGTGCACTTATAGCTCCCTCCCATTAGTTTCAAATTGCAAAACAAGGTCTTCTGCATGTCCAATGGAGTTGTTGACTAATCATCTTGATATGCCTTGTTTTTATTTTATTTTCTTGATGACCGTGGTGTCCTGGTTCTCACACACCTCGACTAATTCCATGGAGTGCCTATCATCACCCACCAACAATAGTTACCAAGTAACTCTGTCCTCCTTAGATGGGAAGAATCACCTAGTTTTTTTGGTCTCCGTTGGGATTCAAACTTGAGACCTCAGCTCTCAACCACTTCATCCACCACTAGGTCACACTCTTGGATTCCTAGATATTCCTTGTTTTGATGGCTTAAGTTTAGCGTTTTGATAAGTTTTCATAACTGAAGATTGGGAATACTTTTGCCTGACTCTACTTTGATTTGGTTTGCTTATGTCATCTCATTTTTTAGAATGGAAAGAAGACATCACGTTTTCTCTGTAGATCTTCTTGAAAGATATGCCACAAAAGGCCGTGGAGCCATTACATGCATGGCGACTGGCAATGATGTCATCGTTCTTGGAACCAACAAAGGCTGGGTGATCAGACATGACTTTGGAGTGGGTGATTCTTATGGTACGTTCGCTTAAAAGACTCGATTCTAATGGAAATTTGTAACAAAGACACCATTTATGTTGTATCTTAAAGATTCATGACGTGCATATCTGTAATTTCTCTTTTAATTCCTTTTTTGAGCTTAAAAGTCTCATATCCCTGACGCTTTTTTGTCTTCAGCATGATGTTTGTTTCTTCCATGCTTTCTTTTTCTGGATAAAGGTTCAGCTTATGTTTCTTATGCTATACTTGATTGGCTGGAACAGGGTAAACTGGTAATGTTCTATATTGTTGCCTTATTAACGAGTTCAAGTAGAAGTTACCAGTTTCAAAAAAAAAAAAAAGAAAAAAAAAGAAAGGAGTTCAAGTAGCAGTCATAAAATAAAACCCAATGAACTACTAAAATGTGATGAACATGCTTGGAATTGCCTTTGTGTGTGTGGGTGTGTGTGGGGGGGGCATTTTTTTGTTCTTTCCTGATAAAGAACATGCATGTAATTGGTTCTGAGAGAATGCTTATGTAGCAGAGTGAATCTCACACAAATAATGCCTCCTCAGTAGATCACATTCAAACTTTGGTGCTCACATTTGGATGCTGACGGTGTCAAAGCTCATTTTCTACCACTTCCAGAATTTGATGTGATGGCCTTTTCATCTTTTTTCATACAATTTCATGACTCTCATTTTATGTCTTTTAGTTCTAATTTTTTTCTTCCTTTTTTAACATTATGAATGTTTTGAGGCCTTTCTCGCAAACAAATTTGAAGTGTTGAAGCTTTCAAGTCGAGCTTTATGACGCAGATGATTGTCACAGAGTTTGATGTTGGCTGGGGTGATGGTCTATGGCTTCTGATGGTGTTCATTACGAACTATAATTTTACATAGGCAGGGAGAGAGAGATATAGAGAGATGGCGTACCTCTCTTCCTATAGTTTTATAGGCTAGAGAGACCTTCTGACTTGCCCTTTTAGCTGCTGCCTTTTTCCAAAACAACTACTAGTTATATTTTGTGACAAAAAAGATTGACCGTGTATGAAGGTCTTATAAACATGAAAGCCTTAAGTTTTTCTTAGGACACTTAATGATAGTGTATTCAAATAAAGAGTATACTAAGAACTTCCTTGCAGATGTGATGCTTATTTGGTTTTACATTGCTTTTGGTAACACAGAACTTTTGCTATTTTCTTATACAACTTCTTTTTCCTTCCTTTTTTGGAACATGTGCTTTGTGTTAGGTTGTTGATTTAAGGGAGAATTCATTATTTTAACTTATTAGGAAAATGTGAGGAAGAATTCACTGTTTTAGCCTTTTGCATTTGGGAAGAGTTGATGCAAGAAAGTTCAACTAGTAGCTTTGATGCATTTTTGTCTGGAATGAAGAGTGATTAGAATATAATTGCAGCCCAACGCAGAAGGAACATTTGAGACCTAGTGATATGACTTAATGATAGAGAAAGTGGGAGGAAAATCATGAGAAACAAGGCCTTTCTCAAAAAAAAAATCATGAGAAACAAGGGTTCAAAACCTCTGTAGTGGTGGGGCAAACACTACATGATTTTCCCCCATCTGTCTAAGTGTTGATGGACATAGTCACCCGGTACTTGTGTTAGTGGATGGTTGCCAGTATACCTGGTAAAATAGTCAAGGGGCGTACAATCTGTCCTATACACTACCTTTGTGCCCAAGAAAAAAAAGATGGAGAAAATAGGCAATAGCTCTTTGAAGTGTATATTCAAGGTTTTGGATGGTGTGTTTTGAAGTTTTCATATCATGCTTCCTTGTAATTTGAACATCTTGTGTGTTATTGTGTTTTAATCTTTTATTCCTTGGCAAATATGATTTTTCTGTTTTTTGAACTTTTCCTTGATCTAAGAAAGATCATTGGGATGGATTGCATTCTGTGAACTTGGTTCTACTTTTCTTTTTGTGCGGAGAGAAATGGAACTTTCCTTTTCTAAAGGTTATTTGTTTATGAAGCAACTTAAAAAGAGCTTCTAGTGAAATTTATAAATGTTGTTCTGTGTGACCTCTGAGTAATGCTTTCTTGAATCCAGTGTTGACTGTGATTAAGTTTTGGACCTCTACATAACGAAGCATACCTTGGTGGCTCTTATTTTATTCTACTCGTGTCAGATCTATTAGGGAAATAGGGTAATTGTATTGGATTATTTTTGCAGATATAGATCTCTCTGTTGGCAGGCCTGGGGAACAATCAATTCATAAGGTTTTCGTTGACCCTGGAGGGAGCCACTGTATTGCCACTGTTATTGGCAGCAGTGGTGCCGATACATATTATACTCATGCTAAATGGACAAAGCCACGTATTTTGAGCAAACTAAAAGGTCTTGTTGTCAATGCTGTCGCCTGGAACAGACAACATATAACAGAAGGTAGGTTAGTGCTTTCTAATTTCTTGTGTTCTAGTACAAGATTATGACAATTTAGTGATTTACGGACACTCAAAATAGTTATGCTTTTTTCTCTTCATTTTATTGTGGATGATGGTTTCAGCTTCAACTAGAGAAATCATTTTGGGTACGGACAATGGTCAACTTTACGAGATGGCTGTAGATGTAAAGGATAAAATGGAGAAGTACATTAAGTTACTATTTGAACTTAAAGAACTACCTGAGGCATTCACTGGTTTGCAGGTTCAGTGTTTTCTAGTTTCTTTCTTCCTTATTTTTTTTCTTTTAACTTCTTTCCCCCAAAAGGAGAAAGCATCTAAGTGGCTTACCTGTTTCCTTTTCACTCCCTTCTCAATTTAATCAAGTAGGTCATGTCATTTCGTACTAAGATAATGTTAATGTAACCTTCTTTTCTTTCGTCTTCTTGTAGATGGAAACAGCAAGTGTGCACAATGGTACCAGATTTTATGTGATGGCTGTTACACCTACGCGACTTTATTCTTTCACGGGGATTGGATCACTTGATGTAAGTTTTTAATATAGAAGTAAACATTTTGTTAAAGAATGATGAGAGTCCCACATCGGTAATTAATGAGATGGGTGGACTCCTTATAAGACTTGGGCAATCCTTCTCCCTTTGAGCTAGCTTTTGGAGTGTGAGTTAGGCCTAAGACCTAATTCAACATTGCAGTTTGACCGACTCCTTCCCCTCATCATCTTCATTCTTTTTCTTATGGATCATTAGGGTTTTCTGATTTCACTTTCATCTTTGCTTTGCTAGCACATGGTGCTGCCAAATACTAAAAATAGCTTCTTTCTTACTTAAGTTCCTGGTTTTGTCTATGTTTTCCTTTGTGCAATTTTCATTGTTATCATGTTGAATATCTTTATGTGTGATTGGAGTTTTGACTGGTATGGAATCATCTTTGAAATCTATATGAAGTGTTTTTTTAGCGTTTCATATTGATGAACTGTGCTTCTTTAGTTTGGAAACTTGAAATTTGTTGGGCACGTCTTGGTACAATTTGCTACTCCTGCTTCCTTGACTTCTTTTGGCTTCATTGAACATTTCAACTTGGTATACTTACTTTCTTGTGGTCTTTGTTTTCCTTATTGGATTTATGTGCTGTAATATCTTTGCTTGGTATCTTTCGACAGCTCTGCTGGATCAAGTTGTACAAAGCTGTTGATCTATTCCTTTGGCAGCTGTTCTTGTAGATTTGATGTGCTGAAATATCTTTGCTTGGCATCTTTCATTCTCTACTTAATTATTTCTATCAGAACCTATATTGACCTGTCGATGAAATAAAAAATTGTTAATATTTCTTCTAACCTTTTGTGCAATAACTCTTCATTAAGATTCTGTTTGTTGGACATCAATTCCTGTTAGTATTGCAATAAAGTTTTGCTAGTTCATTGGCATATCGTGATCTGATGATCATACGTTTCAATTCATTGATGCATTTTGGTTTGTAGGCCATTTTTGCAAGCTATGTGGACCGCACAGTTCATTTCATGGAGCTTCCTGGTGAAATACCTAACAGGCAAGTTCCTTATTTATGAGATTGTCGAAACAATTGGAAGGAAGTCAGTCGTTTACTTAAGTTTTAGATGACCTAGAACCACATAATTTAACATTGCAGTAGATTATATATTAGAAAAAAGATAATAAAGACTTCCACGCGCTTGGGCTAAGTGACGAATCGGTCGTCACCAGAGGGGCCTGCTAAAGACATAATATAAACGAATAAGTTTAGGGAGCACAAATTATCAGGAATTATTTTCGTTAACTACATGAAAAATGGATAACAATTTCAGACTCCTATGTCTCGCAAAGCTCCATCATCTCCTTACTGTAGGATGTGTTACTGTGGCAGAAACATTCATATGCTGTGTTCGATCCACTATTCTGAGAGTATAGCTAATATAATTCATTTTTGGTGTAATGTCCTGCTGGGACAAATCCAAAATGTCTCTAACAATGATTTTGAAACTACAGCTAGTGTAACTCATATTCAGATAATGTCCTGATAACCTCCACCACTTGAGCACATTAATATAGTTAGAATATTGAAGGGAAACTAGCCTTTGGAAGGAGAGAGAAAGACTTTCTTTTTTGTAAGTTATCTTCAAATGTTATAATCTCCTGCAAAAATTAGAGAAAGCTTGATAATGAACTTGATAAATACATTGGTAGGAGATGAACTGAGAAGCTGACTTCCTGTTAGACCTCCCACACACTCATACTCATCTCCTTTCAGAAGGGAGATTTAGGGGGGACGCAAGCGGGAACATACGTCCAGCAGCTTAAGGAGGAACTAACTATTATAGGAGTTAACTTCTCCCAAATCTCCCCACCCATGTTTCTTCTCATTCTGGTCAACAGAACTATTGCAGACTGATCATTCAAATCTTCGTTCATTTGTGTCCTCCAGTGGGCTTTCCTGAATACTATAATAATCAAATATCAATTAAAATTACTAATTTGATCTTCAATTTACAATAATGTGTGTACTAATCTAACATGTCAAAGTTACAATAGAGCTTGTAAGAGTGTTATTAAAAGCGAAAAGCGCAAAAAAGCTCTAAGGTTCATGGGGGCATTAAGCGCAAAGCGCAAATAAAGCGTGGGCTTTAATGAAAAAAGGTGCAAAGGAAGAAAAAAAAACAAAATGTGTATATTTAGTCCAAAGCTAATAATTATAAACATGAATGGAAAATATATGACCAAATAAATTGATTCTTTTTATGATGAAGTGAAATATCAATTGTTTAGTGTCACTTCTTCACAAGAGGCTCATTGACAAGGAAAAGTTTTTCTTAGAACTTTGATGACGACACTGAAGCGCACATAAAGCGAGGTGAAACACTCAACACGTTTTGAGCCTCGCTTTAGGGCTTAAGCGCGCCTTTGATAACACTTCGTTGTAACTCCCAAACTATTTTTCAGAAACAGAATGTCTTCTATGGAAAATCTTTCTTCCCATCTCACTCATCCTCTCTTTTACTTGTTGCCTTTTCACCTCTTTCCTTTGTGATCTTTTCTGGATCATTCTTGATATTCTAGAAATTGCAAATATGATGAGGAAGCTGCTTTTCATCACAGGTCACAAATGTTTCGAAGTCAGAATGATCCAAACTGACACCAACAACCACGTCAGTACCACAACCGGTGTGTGAGCTTGTTCGGCCAGTTTTTCAGTGACTTTCTTGTTTAATATCGAACAGTCTCTTGAATTTGAGACTATTCATATCTTTCATACGAAATTTTGAGCACTTTCCAGTGACCATTGCATTGTTTCTCGCAAATCGGAGTTTTCCTATAGTGTTCTCTCTGTATCAATTATCAAATTTACTTTTGCCAAAATAAAGGGTATATTTAGATATTTGGGCTGGACAATGATACTTCTATCCCTTGGCTAAAATAGCATCTATATGCCGTTTTGTATCTATAGTTTTTGTTCACCCTTGGTCTTTTAAGCAGCTGGACAAAATATATTTTTGTATGATCTCAGGAAGAAGTCTATATGAAGTAATCACCTGATTTTGTTGCTCATGCGTAGTTAAATTGCCTTGTATATGGATTGTGCAAGTCATTTTATGGTTTGAAATATACTTCTCAAGCTTGGTTTGTGAAGTCAACATATTAATTCAGGAGTTCGGCATAACTCGTAGTTGAGTTGATCACTCTTTGTTTTATCGACACTCTGCATCAAATCCAATATGTTATGAGAAGACTAAGCACATTGAGATTGACTATCAATTTTGTGAAGTCAAGTGATCATCTTGCAAATATCTTCATCAAGCCCTTCACCGGTCCTTGTATTAATTACATTTGTAACATACTAGGTACATATGACTTGTATGCACTAGTTTGAGGGGGAGTGTTAGAACATGAATAGGAACAAGAATAGTATATACAACCTTATATAGAATAGGAATAGGAATAATATATAGAATCCTACTTGGAAAATTATTATAATGTACTGTCCTAGTTGAAATAGGGTCTCAATTTAATAATGTAAATGCATAACTCAATAATATTCTTCTCCTATATTTCTCTCACACCCCATCCTAATATTTCTTACACACCCCATCAGTAGTATGTCCCCACCTAGTAGTATCTGGATCGAGTGGGGCATCTGAACTTGTCAATTTCCTTCAACAGACTAACTTGTTAATTTCCAAGTACATACAAAACATACTGTTTGTTCATTTGCCAATGATTTAGGAGTTATTGGATTGTCTTCTTTCAGTGAACTGCACTTCTTTATCCAGCAAAGGAGGGCTGTACACTTCACGTGGCTTTCTGGAGCAGGTATCTACCATGGTGACCTAAAATTTGGAGCACAACGTAGGTAGATTTACCACCTGTTGCTTATTTCCTTACTTCTTTGGTTTGTTTCAATCCCAAGTTTTTTCATCTCATGGCCTTAATGCTCAAATTTATTTGAACTTTAAAGTTCTGTACATTTTTTTTGTTTGTTGATATTTTCTACAATTGCTGAAAATTTCACTGTAGTTCGCCAAATGGGGATGAAAACTTTGTGGAAAATAAAGCTCTTCTGGACTACTCTAAATTCTCTGAAGGAGTTGAAGGTGTCAAACCTAGCTCTCTGGCTATATCCGAGTTTCATTTCCTACTTCTCCTTGGCAACAAGGTTAAGGTGTGTGTGGTACTTCCATGACTTTGTTTCTATGTCTTTAACCTTTTAATTGATCAATGTTGTTGCAGTTTCTAGAGTTGAATTATTGTTCATGCATGCCTATGTCTATATGCAATATATGTCTTGGGGTTTTTCTCTGCTCAAACCAAAGACTGGAATGATATGAATTTTTTTGTTTGGCTGTATATCGTATGATTACGTAACCAAAAATGAACTTGTAAGTTAGATGGCATGGAAGCAATAATTATGAGGGTATACATATATTCTTTCATTTTTGAGTTTTTATCACTTTGACAATTCTTAAGTGTGTCTACCAAATACTAATCATATATGCATTAGCCATAATGTTCTAATGTAAATTTAGTTGCTTTTTTTTTTCACTAAGATTTTCATGATTTCATGATATTAAATAAATATTTGTTTGTTGCACATGAAGAAACTAGGATATAATTTCCTTTTTCTTTAACCAAAAAGGGAAGCTGATGAAATTCTAAGCTTTAAACATAATTGTATAGAAGTCTTAGACCTAATAAGTCTAGTGATATCCTTAAATTTTTCATCTGCACACCTCTATTTTGTCAGTGTTGATATTGATGACTAAGTTTGCTTTAACTTTTAGGTTCATGTAGTGTACATCACTTAGTATTTACGATATCAGTATTTGTATTCTCAAAAAAGAAAAGAAAAAGAAGTGTACATCAATCCTAAGTTGACTTGAACGACTCCATTTACTTTTTTGATTTTTGATGGAGTGAGATAATATCATTGATAAGGCATCAGGAAGATTCCAAATTTACAAAAGACAAAAAGTCTGGAAGGTCCAAATCAGGAGACCAAAACCACGCCCCAATATATCAGTGCCTATGCTAGAACCAGGGAATTAACAAAGTCCAAAAAATTGTCAACACTAGTGTCAAGGATAAGAAAAATTCCAACTGAATGAACTAACTAGACATCTAGCCTTCAGTGAGTGAGTGTGCTGGAGTTGATATTTCATCAAACAGAAAAACTCCATTTATCATAATGTCTTCTCTTGTTTGCCATTATCCACTTGAATTTTATATATCTTAGGAGAAATACATTTCATGGTTAATTTGTTCTGCAAGACCACTGAGTATGTTGTTTTTCTATTGGGTAGAAGTTAGTCTAACACTATTGCTTTGCAGCATTAATCCAATCTCTTGCTATATTATGTATTTCTAGATTGTTAAATATATGGATGCTAGAGGTCCTTCCTTTACGGCTTTACCACATGACAGATCGCAGAAGACAGTTAGAAGAACAACAATTTAGGACAAGGGCAACCTGACCGCCCAATTATTGAGCAAATCACTTGATTCTGAAGAATGGGATATTTCACCTTTGAATACCTTGTATAGTTATGCTTTAGTTTATGTCTTGTAGGTGGTGAACAGGATAAGTGAACAGATAGTTGAAGAACTTTATTTTGATCAGACATCTGATGCAGTTTCAAGAGGTATTATTGGCTTATGTAGTGATGCCTCAGCTGGGTTGTTTTATGCATATGACCAAAATTCTATCTTCCAGGTGCAGTATAGGCATTTCCTAAATCTTATTTGATGTGGTAATACCATTATATTTCTTCTTCAGTTTCTGAATCGACAATCTGAATTTAGGTGTCCGTAAATGATGAAGGTCGTGATATGTGGAAAGTGTACTTGGACTTAAAAGAATATGCTGCAGCTTTGGCTAGTTGTCGTGATGCCCTGCAGAGAGACCAAGTTTATCTGGTTCAGGTCTTGGCTAATTAAACTTCTATTCTGCTGGGATATGTGATGCTTTTTTGAATATTTGCCTCATTTGTAACTGTCCCCTAATCATAATCTGAAGAAACTCTTATTGCTTGGGAGGCTGTATATTTTCTTTTGGTTTTTCATCATAGACCTCATGTATGTTATGCAGGCTGAAGCTGCTTTTGTTGCCAAGGAGTTCCTCAGAGCTGCATCATTCTATGCAAAAGTATTTAATCTATTTATTTATGCATTTACTTCCATTTTGTGGTTTCCATTTAGTTGTTGTTTCTTTGTACTTTTGTAAACTTGATCCTTGTCAACCAACCACATACCCTTAAGAAAATCTGATCCTTGTGTGCTAATTGCAAATTTCATTATGACCAGCAAATGGGAAATTTCCACAAACTTCTGTAGCAATCAGTGCCTATGTCTACTCTATTCTACAAAGACCAGTAGAATTTTGTTTTCTGATAAATGAGAATACTTTCATCTATCATACCCCAAGTGAAACCCCTGATAATCTTCCTTAAAAGGTCTGCTTCATATAATCCGTTACATTTTCAGTAGTATCGAATTGATTACCGTCTTGAATATTTCTTGTAAAAACTATGTCTCTGATTCAAATTCTGCAACTCTTCACTCATGTCACTTTTGTTTTCTTTTATTTATGTTTGACAAAAATAATTCATATTTATTCCTGGAACTGGAGACCTTTCTAATCCATGGAAATGAATACTGCAGATTAATTATGTATTATCTTTTGAAGAGATCTCATTGAAGTTCATTAGCATAGGCGAACAGGTATGAGCTTTTTTAATTCTAGAACACTGATTTATGGTTATGCTAGAAAAGATTTCTATTTTCACTCGTTGAAAAAACAAAAAAAATCAGATTCACTAAAGTTCAATCCATCTTGCTGTTGAAAAAACAATCCATCTTGCTCATTCGAGGCAAGGATCTGTAGTAGTAACCAACTCATATCTAAAAAGGAACATTACTTTTCCTGTTGTTCCGTTTTTAAGAGACAAGGTTTATTAGGCTGTAAGAACTAAGAAGCTTGTTAGAACTCAAATATTTCCATTTGGAGTCCGTTGCGGCGACTCATTATAGGTTATTCTATTTAGTCTCGAGTTACTTAAATGATACCCAAATAGATCATACTGAGGATTTTTTAATTCTAAGCATCATTGGAGAACATGTTTATTTGGTAGATCCTGAGTTCCTGACTGCAAATTCTGATAATTTAGTATCTCTTCTTATTTACAAAGCAAATGTACTTGAATTCCAATTATCTTTACATTTTAGCATCTGTTTCCATTTTTTGTATATAGTCTTCACCAGGACTTGAGGGCTGCTACTGCTTTTGTTAGCTGATGTAGTATTATCCAGTTGTTGTTTTTAGAACTTCATTGTACTTCTGTGCAGTGCTATCTCAGTGCCGATTATTATTGAAGTTCTCTCATTGCTTATTGATTTAAAAAATTGTAATAGTTCAGAACCACGTTTAATTTCTCGTGATCATCTTCTTGCTTAGTAGTCCTATCATTGTCAAAAATGAAGATATTATTCCTTAGGAAGATAATTAACCTATGTTTGTGTAGATATCCCATTCCTTTTTACAACAGATCTCTAGTGATATTTGCTGCATCTGCATATGTTATAATGAGAGGTATTCCTTGGTCTGCTGTTGGAAGTTAATTTTGTTAGTTTTCTGACATGTGACATTTGGAAACCTTGAATAGAAAAACAACCACAAATAATAGAATCAGTAGAAAAAAGAACTAGTTGAATTTTTTTCCTGGATATAACACTTCTTTGCTTGCAGGATGCACTGAGAACATTTCTCCTGCGGAAGCTTGATAATCTTTCAAAGGATGAAAAATGTCAAATAACAATGATTTCGACATGGGCTACTGAATTATATCTTGATAAGGTTTGTCTCTTTTTGAAGTGAGCTTGGTTGATTAAAAGTTTGGTTGCTTTTCTTTTCCTTGTTTTCATAAACTGTAAATTTGTTCTGATGTTAATGTTGGAAATATCTCTGTTTCCGGTTCCTATTATGTATAGGTCGAACTTGGATAATCCGACTTACATTCCTATTATGTTTAGGTCGAACTTGGATTATCTGACTTACACAAAATAAGTGTTATCAAAAGCGCAAATTGCAAAAAAACTCTAAGGTCCGTTAGGGCTTTAAGCGCAAATAAAGCATGAACTTAAATGAAAAAAGGCGCAAAGGGAGAAAAGAATATAAATATATATGTTTAGTCCAAGACTAATAATTATAAACATGAATGACAAAAATATGACCAATAAAATTGAAAAATAGTTCATGATGAAGTGAAATATCAATTATTTAGTGTCACTTCTTTATACGAGGCTCATTGGCAAGGAAATGTTTGCCTTAGAACCTTGATGATGACATTGAAGCGCACATAAAGCGACGCGGAGCGCTCAACCCGTTGAGCCTTGCTTCAGGGCTTAAGCGCGCCTTTCATAATACTGGGTAAGACCTCTAGCATCCACATATTTAACAATCTAGAACAAGATAATATAGCAAGAGATTGGATTAATGCTGCAAAGCTCGGATAATCTAAGTTCGACCTATACATAATAGGAACTGGAAATAGAGATATTTAGGATCTATTCCTTTAAACCTCGGGTACTAGTATGAAATAATTTCTTTTAGGGGACAATGTGCATTTAGTGGGCTCAACTTTTTCCTTTATGTTTTTTTATTATTAAAGATCCTGGTATGTTTTTTACCGTCTTTAATTTATGCTTATTTTATTAGTTTTTGTTTTGAGTACATGTTTTAAACTTTGTTGTTTATGTTTATGCTTTTGATAATTATGTTGAAGCAAAGATATGTTAATCAAGAGTTTAGTGTAATCATTAGATTATTGGTGTCATGTAGATTAGAATTCTTACACTTGTAAAATAAACGACTTTGATCTTTATAGAGTTTTCATTGGTTAAAAGATCCATCGGATGTCAAAGAAGGGACTTTGAGTGTTCAAAAGTTATGGTGGTTCCACACTACCTTGGAGTTTTATTTATTCAACTTACTATCTTATTAAGACATTCAATCGATTGGTGACATCCAAAAAATAAGGAATGTAGTGGGATGGTAAGTATTGTACTCAATCTTAATCAAACGTTTGGGGTTCAAATGTTGGGTTGTAGTCAATGAATTACCCCTCAAAGTAAGATGAATCAATATTAATCAAATATTAAAGAAATAATTATCTCCTTGTAAGCTTTAGATTAAAAGTCCCCAAAAATAAAGTTTTAACCATATTGATCGAAACATGAACAAAATATGTCTTTTGTCTATCAAAGTAGTCTCATCGACGCAAGACATCATTTAATCCAAATTGTTTGAGCGACATACGTTATATCATTGAAATCCAAGAGACGTGTTTTTATATTTTAATAAACTTATTAAGTACACAACTAATTATAAGATGTATAATATTTAGATTCTGTATGTAGAAACCTTGAATAAGAGAAAAACTCTTGCAGTTGATGAATTAAAAATCTGTACCACTTTTTGAAAATGCAAATATAGACACTGAAATAGTAACATATCTTTTCGAAAGACTTTGGTGATGAACAACTACAATAAAATGAAGAATTAATAACAAAATCCATAAACACTAAAAATCAAATCTTTTTTGTTTTAAGATTAAAAACATTTCATATCTTCTTTGGATGAAATATTCTTGAAAATTTATCATAGGGCTGTACCCTCTTGAAAACACTTATATTATCAAATATTCAGAAGTAAGGTCAAATTAATGGAACGACCTTACTGAAAAAGAAATACATGGGTAGGGGTCGAAATGATGACACGGCCCTACACAAATCGATTTGGGGAATCACCAAAAACACGGATGAAACTATGCAAATCAAATTCGAGTCACCAAAAAGACACACGGTGCTATGCAACTTAGATATGAAAAAGTACAAACCATGATACTAAGCGAATTAAATATGAGAAGTAGTCTCGAAAGAGGCACAGTGCTACACAAATTAGATATGAAAAAGTAGTAATCGAAAAATGCACGGTGCTACGCGAGTTGGATATGAGAAAGTAGTCATCGGAAAGATGATATGGGGCTACGCATATCGAATATGAAAAAGTAGTTACTGAAAGATGTCACTGTGCTATGCACATCAAATATGAGAAAGAAGTCACCGGGAAGATAGCCAGGTGCTACACATATTAGATATGAGAGACTAGTCATCAGAAAGATACACGGTGACCCAACTTTTGCTAATATAATATTGTCCGACGGGGCAGCATATATGGGTAATAGCTGCTTGACGGTTGTGGAAGATTGTAGAGGCGTTGTTACCAGGTGAGAAATATAGGAGAAAACTATTATTTAATTGTGTATCTACATTATTACATAGATATCCTATTTATAGACACTACAATATAATTCTTTACCAAGTAGTATACTATTTACTATTCCTATTCTAAGTAGGATTGTATATACCTATTCCTATTCCAACACATCTGTAATGCCACACTATTGTTGAGTAAGATTAGAATCTGAGTTCCCCTATTTAGGTTCTACGAGGACATTAATATTGACACCCCATTGTTGTATTAAATTCCTAACGCGTCTCTTTTTGTTGTTATTATTCACCCTCTTCACATTCCAAGACGATTTTTTCATCTTCACAAGTTTTATTTGAGATAAGATCCTCCCTCTACCTCCAGGTTCACTGTCTTCAAATAATGTCAAAAGCTAGATTTCTAACCTCCTTGAGCAGTGGGTCTTTCGGAAACAACCTCTCTACCTCTACAAGATAGGGGTAAGGTCCATGCACACTCTAACCTCCTCAAATCCCACTTATGGAATAACATTCTACCAGTTATATCTTTTGGCGTCTTTTACATTGACACCACTGTTATACCTGGGTGATTATTCTGACGGTAATGCTTCTACCTATGCTATTCAGAGCATTGTGCTTAATTTTAGTGGCCTTTCTAGCTGCACTCCCTGATTCTACGTCTATTTTTGTGACTGTTTTGGGAGTGAAGCGCCTTGAGTTTTTAGTGATGAGATGTTTTGACAAGCCAAGTCAAATGGGAAGCAAACCTTGTAATTGATGAGAATGTCTTTTAGAACAAAGGGAAGGGTGTGTGTTATTGCATTGCTTGCCTTCAAGAAGTTCCTCGAGAATTGGCCAGATGCAGCACTGTGACAACAAAGGAGTGGATTCTCCATTGAAAGGGTATAGGAGAAGACTTGGTGATCATTCCTCGCATCTCTTTGCGGTGATTAGTCATTTGAGTGGTTACTTTCAAGGACCTTACTTGAATTTTCAACTAGATTTTGGCGAACTAAATATTTTTTTATAGAATGTTCAATTTTAATCAAATATTAAAATCTAGAATGCTTAAAATATTAAAAATTTAAGTTTGTTGTTGTAATACAAGTATCATACTTGTACTGTGTTTGACACCTATATATTGGTCTGTCATGGGTACCAAATGGCTTACTTATTAATATATCTCTTCTCTTCTCTTAAGCTATCTTAATGCAATACAAGCAAGCTGAATAGTAATGGAATGATTCCACTTATTCATCTTTGGACCAAAGTGTATTCTTTAAGTGATAACATGGTGGCTGTGATTTGAACATAGATGATTGGCCTTTTTAGGTTTTTGTTTCATACATCTCGCTTGCAGATCAATCGGCTGCTTCTAGAAGATGATGATGCTTTGGACAGTAATAATACCGAGTACCAATCACTCATTAAAGAGTTTCGTGCTTTCCTTAGTGACTGCAAGGATGTATTGGATGAGGCAACCACCATGAAACTACTAGAAAGGTAGCTTATCTGGCAACTGATCTCGCTTGGTTTTAAATCCAATTCTTGTAAATTTTTTTTGTTAGTCCAACTACTTATTTTTCTATCTCTGCTTTCCCCTAGAAACATGATACAGGTTTTTCATGTACATGTCAGAGATTCACCTGGTAGAACATATTTGACATTTTAGGTGCTGTTACCTGCAATGTTTTTCAAGCTGAAATTTCATAAAAAAAAATAAATCTATGGTTATCTAGGGAAAAAATGAACTCTTCCTTTGTAAAAGTTCAGTTATCTTCGCTTCATATATTTATTATATATTCCTTCCCTAATATGTTCTAATAGTTTATTTCTGGCTTTATTGTCCTTTATGTTGTTATTTTTTTTGTTGTAGCTACGGTAGAGTTGATGAGCTAGTGTTCTTTGCTAGTCTAAAGGAGCAATACGAAATTGTGCTTCACCACTACATTCAGGTTTGTTCTTTTTATGTATCTTTTGACATGCTGGTATTTCATTGGCTTGTCTTTTTTCTTTGTCAATGTCTTAGTTCCACTTTCATGCTGTTCTTTATTTTTGTTAGGGGTTACCAGAGGCATCTTTATGATTTTGGATACTTGTCTTGTTTTAACTTTTGTTTGGAGAAAACTGTTCCCCTCCACATTTAGAGGTTGATTGTTGTCTTTCATGCTAGTTCTTCTCAGATCTGGTGTATAATACAATTCTCTCATGTATTCCTTTTGAATGTCATTAGATTACAAAATCAACAATCTTATTAATGGGGCTTTCCAGCCAGGTAGTCCTTCAAATTTTCTGCTTGAACTTTTCTCACCCTATCTCATTCCTTCCGTTCTCCTCCTCCGTTCCTTCTTTCCCTACACCTCCCCATTAGCATTAAACACTTTTGACTCATACTGTTGAGTGAGTCATAACCTGTAACAACGTTCCCTAGTCTCCACCAGCGTGGATAGTCTCCCTTTCCTCGCAAAAGCTTACTCATGACATATCTTTCATACTTCACTGGATATACACAAACCTTTCACGTATAACCCCCACCCTTCTGAACAAGTCCACATACCAAAGTGCACTGTATGTTGGAAATATTCACAGGAAATATCTTTGTTGGCTTCCCTTTATACCACAAATCTAAAAAGGAAAATAAAGTTTCAAAGCTTTGATACCTTCAACTTCGTTACCAATCTCCAACCTCAAATGGTGGTGGGGGTTCACCCTTAAGCTTAGGAGATGGTGGGAAGACATTAAACGAGACCATGGTAGGGAGATTTTTAAATTGCTGATTTTCCAACGTTCCTTATTTATGTCACTTCTGATTGATATTTGGTGAAAGCATTGCTAAAATTTTGGGATCCAGAAAGAGTGGTCTTCAAATTTGAAGATTGAGTTAGCACCCACCATAGGAAATTGGTGGGTTTACTAATTTGCATTATCATCGGAGGATCATGATCGCACCTCACATGTAATCCGGGAAGTTCTTGCATTGGCATGCTTGGACTATGAATGGATCTCTTTGGACTTTCTGTATGAATGCTTTGGTCGTTAGGATGGTTCAAAGATATTTGAAAGGAGAGGTTTCTTGCTCGAACGAAAAGTGAGAGAAGAACCATTTGGGCGCTTTTGCGATTGCATTGTTGGGTACTTTGGTATATCTGGAAGAAAATGGAAAATAGATACATTCCTTAGTTCCATGGTTTAAGCGGTGGCCCAAGAGGTGGGTAGCATTGATGTAATGTGGTGCCAGATAGTAGCAGAAATGTTGAGGGTTCCAACCAAATGTACTAAAGGTAGGAGATCTTTCGAGGGATGCAACTTTTTGCTTCAATTGTGGGCCATAGAACACTTCTACAAGCGGTCTAACATGATAGACATTCTTACTGGGGTTGGCAACAAAATTGACACTCATTCGCAGAGCATGGCCAAGTTTATTGCCCTAGTAGGACCTGAAGATTGGGTTGCATTCATAAAGAGCTTTGGCATTATCAAGTTTAATGGAAATACTCTTAGCAGTCTGCCCCTAGTGTTATTATAAGAGGTGATGAGCTTTACTACATCGAGCTCCTTGGTCTATAAGGGGGTGTCCTATCATATTCTCCTTTATGAGTGCTTCGTCAGTTTGTGCAAACTCAAGTCATACCATTGCGGTAGAATATGGGCAATTTCGAGTACAAATTTGGGCTAGAGATTCTAAAAGTCCACAATACACTTCAAAGGTTGTAAGAGTTGGTGACTATGAGTGTCTATGAGGATCAAGCCTTTTGAGCATCAGAATATTATGTGTGGCTCCTAAAGAATATTAAGAGCGTGGACTATCTTAGCAGGGAAAGGCATCATGGTTGTGAGGATGTCCATATTACATCACTCCAGAGATGAAAGAACAATTGCCTAAAGCTTTGGAATCAACGTCGTAGGATATCTTGAAGTTTTGGATTTTCCCCTTTTGTTATCCTATTTCCCTTAGTTTAATTATTCTATCTTTCCTACTTCTTCGTTTGAAGATATGTACTGTTTCAAGTATTTAGTGAATCAAATGGTTTGTTTCTCTTTTAGTTCCGTCTTAAAACTCCAATTAATATCAAAATAAGGCTTGGATTAACCCTCGTAAATCTCTTATTTATCGTCTTAGGCCTACCTCTAGATCAATGAGGCATCCTTCATTTAGGTCGTTATTTCTCGTAAAACATCGTGTTTATTTTTATAATAAAATATGTTTTACTAACCTTACAAGATTTCTCTCTTGATTATGTTCCCTTCCGTAAAGGTTGATTTGTGCACTCTAGCGTATGATGTCTTTTAGCATCTTTTCCAATGACACCACTGTTATACCTGGTGATTATTCCGACTGTAATGCTTCTACCGATGCTATTTTGGAGCATTGTGCTTAATTTTAGTGTCCATTCTAGCTGCACTTCCTGATTCTATGATTGGTTCTACCATTTGATGTATATAACACATATTTTCTTTACTGATTCCACTGTCCATTCCTATCTTCAAAGATCTCTGTCAAACCCCATTGCATCCCCATATAGACTCTTGCATTTCTATCTTTGAGATTGCACTTGGCATATAGCATGAACTTCTGTTAACTTGCATGCTTCTGTTTTTGGATACTTGTGAATATGACCAAGGGAAGAAATATTATTTGTAGATCTATTTGCAGATGTTCTGCATTTTGTGCTCATAGTAACTGCAGTGCACTAATTGATTGTTGGTATGAACAGTGATTTGTCTTTCTTTTTCTATGCAATCACAGCAAGGAGAAGCAAAGAAGGCGTTACAAGTTCTTCAGAAGCCTAATGTTGCAACAGAACTTCAGGTATGGGTAAAAACTATTAAGTGGGTGTTTGGATTGGCTTATTTTAAGTAGCTTTTGACTTTTAAGCTTTTTTTGAATATTTGAAACGTTTGGCAAACAGAAAATGTGCTTTAAGCACTATATCTTAGGCTTAAAAAGTGCAAAAAAAGCCAAAAGTCGGGTGTTCCTAACTTATGAGTTTTAGCTTATAAGCACTTATAGAAAGCCAATCCAAACAACCCCTAAGTAGGGATTGTGTTTTGAATCTACTGTAATCGCACCATGCCTTACTTGGATTCTTTTGTTCTATTGCAGTACAAGTTTGCACCAGATCTCATCATGCTTGATGCATATGAAACTGTTGAGTCATGGATGACCACTAAGAGTTTGAACCCGAGAAAGCTCATTCCTGCAATGATGCGTTATTCAAGTGAACCACATGCAAAGTAATGTGCATCTCTACCTTGCATTGAGTTCTTTGATTTTCTTACCGGCACGTTCTTCATGAGCTTTCAGTTTTATGTGCCAATTCTTTTTCATTTAGTTGTATCTTAGTTTTGTGGATAATAGGGGGTAGTTGAAAGGGATTCTTTTTACTGTGTGACCTGTTTTAGTCCTTAATGTAGCAATGTGCATCCAACACTATCTTAGTTTACTGATGCTCCACCTTCGGTTATCTTTTCTTTTAGGAGACTTTTTGAGTAAAGGTAACTCTGTATTCACAAAAGCCTCATCAACATAAGGATGATGAGGATCATTTTACAACCCACAGTGTGTGCACTTTCCTCAATGAGGACTACACAAAAAACTTACTAGTTACCTATGAAGTCAACTATATCAACTATGTACCTGCCATTTCCTGTTTACACCAATATTAAAGTAAACTAAGGCATTAGATTTTAATCTTCTGGCAGTTTGTCCCTTTGCCTTCAAAACATCTGGTATTTTTCTACTTCCACAATGTCCACCAGACAGAAGCTATGTGGATCTCCACCAGTCTTCATTGGTTCCTCTTCTTCCAATACCTTTCTAGCTACTGGGTATTTCCATACCCAGTCGACTCCTACGATACATAGGAACATGTTCCATAGATTTCTAGCTGCTTTGCAATGAAGAATATATTGTTGTCTGTTGTTCACTTCTGCTTCTTGATTGCACATAAAATGTCTTGAGCAAAGCTGGAAACATCTTCCTTTGCAACACTTCATGTGTTAGACATGCTTTTCTTACCACCAACCAAGTAAACCAAGATATCTTAATGGGCTTTTTAACCTTCCAAATTAGCTTCCAGGACCATACTTCTGTGTTGACTTGGTTATTCTTCCTCTCTCAGTAGCATGACTTCACTGTGAAGACCCCTTTGTTGTGTAGTGAGTTTGTCTGCATTGGTGGCAATACCTGAGAAATTATTCAACACTTGAAGAAGCCTGGCAATCTCTGTCACTTCCCAATCATTTAGTGCTCTTCTAAAGATCAAATTCCAACCATGAGGGCTCCACACCCGTGAGACTGAGGCATTTCTTTGTGAGCTCAGAATGTAAAGTTGGGGGAAAAGCCTTCTCAAGTTTTCGTTCCCAACCCAATGCTCTCTCCAGAAATCAACTTCCACTCCACTGCCCACTTGGAAGGAAATGTTGATATGAACTTGAGATTACAACCTCCTGATGGTCTTCCAAACATTGCATCCAAAGGTGCCCATGACCTCCTCAGTGGCCCATTGACTTAGCATACCATATTTATCTTCCATAAACCTTCTCCCCAAAGCCATATGGAATTCCTGATGTTTTTTTTTGAAACTGATACGGAATTCCAGATGTTTTGAACGCTTAGAGAATGATGTGCAGAAGATCAAGTTGAACTTCATGTTACTATGTTTTTGGTGTATTCAGAGTTACTCTAATGATAATGTGTCTATCATACATGTTCTAGATTCTTTGTAGCTAGTGAGAAAAGGCACTAGAGCTCTATTATAAATATGGTTTCAGTAATACCCAAGTACTGTTTTGATCATTGATATGATACAAAGTTACATATTTTAGAAAAAAGCCATATCATCTGTGCAAAACCTCCACCCATTTCCTTTGGCTATTCTGAGCATGTAATTTAAACCTTCCATGGCTAGGATAAATGGGAATGGTGACATGGGGTCACCCTATCTAAGCCCCCTTTGTGATTGAAAATATCTTTCAATGTTGCCATTAATAATGAGGGAGAATTTTACATTAGAGATGCAAAATCTTATTCAACTGATCCATTTGGTACCAAACCCCTTATCTTCTAGGATGTATAATAAATAGGACCATTTGACATGGTCATAGGCCTTCTTAATGTCCAGCTTGCACAGGATTCCAGGGGTCTTCTCTCACCTAGAGTCTACCAACTCATTGGCCAAAAGGCTGCATCCATTATCTGCCTACCCTTCCAGAAAGCCATCTGATATTCCTCAACAAGCTTCCCCATAACAATTTTCATTGCCTCAGTAATCAATTTAGAGATTATTTTATACACTCCACCTATCAAACTGATAGGTCTAAAATCCTTCTGCTCCTGACTTATTTGGTATAAGTGCTATAAGAGTAGCATTTAAAGATTTCATTCAGATGGAAGTTCTGAACTGTTTGCATTAGGTCATCTTTCAAGATACTCCATCACCCCTTTAGGTTCAGTTGCTTCATCACCATTACATTGTTTAATGATGTTAAGAACCTCAGTTTCTAGTAACAGGTCTTCTGTAAGCATTCCTGTTCCTCCTGTGTAATTCTAGGACATCCAGCATCTCAAAAGATGGTCTCCATGTTTCTGATTTTTAATAGTCTGATATGAAATTCTATCATAGCCACCTCTTTACCTTCTGGATCTTGAATTTCCTCTCCTTGAACCACCAGACTATCAGTGGAATCGTGCTCCTTCTATGATTTAACAACCCTGAACCAAGTGAACTTCCTTCCATTCAGTGGATGATCATGAAGTTTCATATCTTCAATCCACCTGGAAAAATCTGTTAAGAGGATGGGATTGAAGTGAGTAATTTTAGGACTTAAAAGCCTTAAACAGGGTTAAGGGTAGAAGACAAAACAACATAGTATTGGCGTAAAACAATTAGGAAAAGACCCAAAAGCCCTTGAAAGATAACTGCCGAAGCTCTTCTACGGTTTGTACCTATTCTACGGAACGTACTGGCCAACTGTAGAAAAGTTCAGAAACCCTTTACTTGGCCCAACTTTTGACGGAACTTGTCTACGGCTTCTAGGTCCTACAAACACCAACCGTAAAAACTAATCTTGACCCTCAAAATTTTACTAAGCCTGGGATAGTATACTGGAATAGTATTATGTCCTGATGTGTCGCATTAGTTTCTTCCATGTTGAAGGCTTTCCTGTTTCATTGTTTTCTGCATTCAGGATATCCTTTATCTGGATAGTCTTTGTATTTTTGGTTAATATCATTTCTACCATTTCTTATAAGATCATTTCTGCCATGTGCCACCTGCAGGAATGAAACTCATGAAGTAATCAAGTACCTGGAGTATTGTGTTCATCGTTTACAGAATGAGGATCCCGGAGTTCACAATCTGTTACTTTCCTTATATGCCAAAAAGGTTCAAGTTATTTAACTTTTGGAATGCGCATCTGGTCTCATATGTGCTATACATGATTTCTCCATCTTTCTAGTTTTGTTGAGATTTTTTAAATCTGTGAATAGGTTACCATCCATGATATCTTCGAGTACTCAGTCTGCATCTCATTTTACCCATTTACAGAAAATACTCTCGCACATCTATTTCTTGCACATTTTCTGTTGAAAATGTGCAGAAACCACGATAATTTAAGCATTGTGTTGATTTTCCTATTGAAAGCTATTCATTTTGATAAATTGTGATCTCATTTTGTTCTTTTGTATAATTTATTCAAATTCATAGAAGGTAGCTTACATTTCACCGTAACAAGATATACAAATGTTGCTTGCATGAACGGGGAGAAATCAGGATTGCTTTGTGTATATGCTCTACATTATAATGTGATACTGCTTATTTTTTTGTTAGTCACATTTTACAAATTATACTTGCAAGAATTGGTAGAAATCAGTACTTCTTGATGTGCCCTTTTTTTTCAACGTACCCAAGGCTTTCACCTAGTGGTCCATGAAGTAGGATGTGAACCATGAGGTCTCAAGTTGAAATACTAGCTGAGGCAAAAGCACTTGGTGATTTCTTCTCATCTGCCCAAGCCTCGGGGGGCAGATTTATCTGGTACCTGTGCAGTTCAGGTGCACGCAAGGTTTCCCGGGCACTACCATCACAAAAAAAACTACTATGTGTAATTATTTTATAAATTATTGTTTCTTTGTCAGAGGAGTGTTGGATGCTTGGATTATCTTAGTTCACGAAGCAAATTAATTATCCTAAAGAAGTTGTCCAAGGGAGAATTGACGCTGGACAATTGCTAGTTAGAATTAGGACTGCCTCCATTTCTATAGAAGGGGCACAAGGTTTATTTTTCTTTGGAGATTGGATGCAAATTTAGTGTTGCGGTGGATGAAGCGATGTGGAAGTAAGGCTTGCCACAGAGACTATTCCCAAGAGAGAGCTTTAAGTATGTTGGGGTCCGTCATCCAAAGTAGTGGGGACTTTGACAATGATGTCACACATCATATTGGGAAGACATTAGATGAAATGGAGGCTTGCGTCTAGAGTCTTTGTGTGATAAGAAGGCACTACCTTAACTTAATATTAAGTTTTACAGAGTGGTGGTTAGACTGCCCTTGTTGTATGGGGTGGAGTGCTAGCAGTCAAGTACTCTCATGTTCAAAAGATGCATGTTGTGGAGATGAGGATGTTGCGATGGATGTGTGGGCACAGCAGGAGTGACAAGATAAGGAATGTGGTTATCCGAGAAAAGGTGAGAGTGGCCTTTGTGGCAGACAAGATGAGGTAAACAAGACTAAGATAGTTTGGGCATGTGCAGAGGAGATGTGCTGACTCCCAGTGAGGAGGTACAAGAGGTTGGTTTTAGCAAATATGCAGAAGGGTAGAGGTAGGCCAAAAAAGTATTGAGTGGAAGTGATTCGACAAGACATGATGTAACTTTCGATTACTAAGGACATGACTCTAGATAGGAAGGAATGGAGCCACGTACTAGGGTAAGAGGTTAGTAGGGGTAAAGTGTTGGCTTGCCTTGTGAAAGGTTTAGGCTTGTTAGTGTTTGTCGTAGTACTAGTCATACCCTTGTAGTTTTTGTCATATGTTGTTTATTGTGTTTTGACTATAACACTATTTTGCTATTGTTATTTTTCTTTCATGTTGACTTGTACTGCTTTTTCTTATTAATGGCTATGCTTCCTTCACTATTTCCTTCTTTCTATACTTAAGTTTGATGCACTTGAGCCGAGGGTCTTCGGAAACGACCTCTCTACCTCCACGAGGTAGTGGTAAGGTTAGCATATACTCTTCCTTCCCCAGACTCCACTTAGTTGGATTTCACCGGGTATGTTGCCATGTAAATATGATGATAAAGTCATCAATCATAGCTGCAGGGAGATCTTGGAATGACTTTTTGTGCTCAACAATGTGATAGTTGTTATTTTTATGCTTGTCAATTATAAATATGCTTAGTTGCACCTAATTTCTCTCTCTCCCTTTTTGTCAAAGTAGGAAGATGAGAGTGCTCTTCTGCGTTTCCTAGAATGCAAGTTTGGTAAAGGGCAACCAGGTGGACCTGAATTCTTTTATGATCCCAAATATGCGCTACGCCTTTGCCTCAAGGAAAAGAGAATGCGAGCTTGTGTTCATATATACAGCATGATGTCTATGCATGAAGAAGCAGTTGCCCTGGCATTACAGGTTCTGTTTTAGTACTGATTGCCCTCTGTGTGTTCCTGGAAGCCTCTTGGTTCTTTTAATCTTACTGCTTATGTTCTGAAATTCATGACTACATTAACTATTAAATTCGCTGATTTGTCATGTTAGCAATTCTCATGCATCATTTAGGTTTAATTTTTGTGCACTTAATGAATGTCTTAATCTTCATCTTTCAGATCTCAGTCATTAAGTCTGTTTGTTTTCAAGATCTAAATCTTATTCATTCAGATCTTAATCATTAAGTGTTTTTGCTTTGGTAATTTTACGGCCACTAGGTCTGAGTAGGTTTGAATGATTAAGATTTATAACCAAGTCTAAATATCATTTAGATGTCCATTTAAAAATTCTACAAAGATGACAGCCCACAGCTTGTCTATCTACTTTCACTCACAACCCACAACCCACAACCCGCAATCACCATTTAAGCCATAACCATCAGCACCATCAATCACCACCAACTGCCATCCACTATCACCATCCTCAGCCCAACCACAACCACCCCCAACACCAATCACTATTAGGGCATCTCCAACTTTATATTCTATTTTACTCTCCATATATAGAGTAACCAAATCGAACCCTATTCTCTATTTTACTCTCTAAAAATATCTTCTTCTCTCTCCTCAAATATTATATTATTATTTCTATTTCATTCTCATTTTCTTATTTCATAATACAAATCCTTTCTTTCTTTTTTCCAACTAATCACTTTATATAATTTTCATGTGATATCAAAATTTTATTTAATATAAAATTATATTTATTCTAAATCATAAATTGTAAGAAAATATTATTTAATATACAATTAGTGGACAAATTCAAGTAAAAGTGAAATACAATTACATAAACACTCGACTTTCAAGATTATTATGGTGCTCCAATTAATGCTCTCCTAATGCATTATGGAGTTCACAATAACCATTTATGTCTTTAATTTTTTTTGTCTAGCTAAATTTTGTTCAAATTCCATGTACCACCATTTATGGCGTTGGAGTTGGAGCCTCTACGACATCTTGAATTGGTGCATTAAGATCATGTTCATCATCGATCATGTTGTACTATATAATACATGTAGTCATTATATCATGTAGCACTTTCTTTATCAAAAAACCTGATGGTCCTGCAATATTTGCAAAACGTGATAGCAAAACTTTGAATGCATTTTCAAAAATTAATAATACATTTAAATTATATTACTGATGAAAATTAGAAAAAATTGACATTATTAATTCAGGATGAAAGTAGTATAGATTTATAGTACATTTTTAAAAATATTATATTACATTTGAAAAGAATTATGAATATTAGATATTTAATTAATGACAATATATGTAAAATAATATGTTAATTATAAAATAATAGAAATAATAACAGAAATAATAATAAATTATTGAAAAAGTGAAATACAGAGTGTGAATAGTAGTTCTCCAAATTTGGAGAACTACTACTCAACGCTCTAGAAATAAAGAATACAGTCTAAAATAAAGAAGGGTTGGAGTGCCCATTCTCAATTTTACTCTCCAAATATAGAGAATGGAGGGTAAAATAGAGGTGGGTTAAGTCGTGTAACAAAGCAACTCGTGTAACTAACAGTTGTATAGATGTTTTGGGACTTAATTGAAAAATAGAGAAACAAATGGACTAAAAGTCTAAGGAATTAAGCACCCAAAGGTGTGGCCTAGTGGTTAATAAAGTGCATTAATCACCTAGGTCTCATATTAAAATGTTCAAATCCCAAACATTATGTGATTTCTTCCCGAATGTGCTAGCATTCGTGGGCTAGTGGGAGGTGACAGGTGTCCCGTGGAATCAATCAAGGTTCACACGAAGCTAACCCGAACACCATGGTTATTAAAAAAAGTAACTAAGGAATTAAAAATAGCAATTGACTTCAGCTAATCTCAGCCAACTCATGATATAGTCATAAAATGTCCACACTTAGATTGCTTGGATCACATCTAAACATTCGTTTCTACTATTTTCGATTCTATCGGATTTTTGATCCCAAGGCTTGAGGTGGACTAGTTTTCTTTTTTTCCTTCTAATTTTGGCCTTTACTCTTAATATAACTAGGCTTATGCCGCCTTATTTGCTTACAAAAATTTAGAATAATCCCCCGAAGTTGTATTTATTGGTGATTGTAAGAACATGCTTTCAAGAGCTTAAAGTCAATGTTGTCAAAGGTGAATATTGCACGATTAACCAACATGTACTGGGTTTTAAGCACCATACACACTTAAGTGGAATAAACTGCAGGATAAGGAAAAAACTACTAAAAAATCTGTGTTAGGCAGGAAAGAATAGGTGTAAATGCTTACGATAATTATATAGATCATTATCCAAAAAACAATTATATAGATGAATGAATTAAAAAATTGCAATAACTTCCTATGAATTCGACAGACGAGGCATGAAAGTTTCATTCAGCGTGGTAGGAGACCATCACGTCTCATAAGGGGTTGAAATTAAAGATTTAAGGGTGTTCAGTAAGCATTATTAGGAAAATAATTATGGAGATTAGGGATGGAAGGTAAATGCTTTTAGGAAGAGCCTGATAGTGGAAAATTAAGGGGTATAGGAAGGAGGTTGGAGACTCCATTTCATACCAGAATGAGATGGCAGTCTAACTCCAACCATAGTCCGGAGACTAATAGAATAGAGAAGATGTTTCGGATTTGTAGTTTTGGAAGGTGACAGTTTCAGGGCATGGTCATTTGCTGTATAAACAAAGCACTTCATAAGACAAACGATATATTGGGGGGGGGGGGAGGGTAACGGTGTGCTTTTTGTTAAAGTCTTATTATGAAAAGCTTTTGAATAAGGGAAGATTGTGTTTCTATATAGCTCGATTGTGGTTCCCTAAAGTATCTCGAACACTGTGTTTTTTTAACTTGGTTGCTAGCAAGAGGGAAGTCTTGTAGGTGGGCACCTTTTTTCACTTGACATTAATAGGAATTATTAGCTCCATCCCAATTTATGTGATGGTGTTTGATTGGACACGGAATTTAAGAAATAAAGGAAGACTTTTGGATATTGTGGTCTAAAATAAACTTTAGGTATTTCTGTTTATAGATCATGTCATTAAGGGTGAAATGAGTATTTCAAAGTTTAATTGCTACTAAATATTGAAAGGTGTCATTCTTTTCGGGACAGACTAAAAAGGAGAGAGTGTCACTAAAAGAATGTAATTTTAATTGTCTAATCCAAATTTCGTGGTGACTTCCTTACTCCTATATTCTATTTTTTAATCATGTACATATCTATCATAACGTCGTTTTCAATAATCAAGTCATTCTTCAGCGGTGATTTTATTGTTTATTGCCCTCCTCTTCTTTATAGTGCTCTGGGATTTCTTTTTGATGGAGTTGATTGAGCTAAGGTGTGTGCTTTTAATGCATCTCACCTAAGTGAGGCGAATTGTCCAGCTGGATAGTACCTAGATTCAATGTCTATGTGCACCTATAACCAAATTTAGTTGTGTTTACCTCTCTTCTCAAATGTAGATGGGTCATTTTATTAACCACCATATCTGCTCTCTCTCGTGACTTCTAGCTTAATATGACTAAGTCAATTAAACTTTGTTCACCCTATAAGGACATGTCTGTGCACGGTTCAACTTTTTATGTTGCTTGCTTATGCAGCACATTTGCTGCTTGTGTTTCTGAATTGATGGAACACTAGGTACACTTGGTGAGTCTGTTTTAAGGCTTCTCTGTCTTGCACACTCTTGCTTTCTCTTTCTTTTAATTTTGTTTTAATATTGGTACTATGATTACATGTTGTTATTAATTTTGTGACTGGAGAATGTGCTAAATTTGATTCTTGAAACTGATATTATATGCTCTATTTAACTTTATACTTACTTCTGATGCTAAAAATTAATCATGAACTAACGTTATATGGTGGAGTTAATTTGCAACTGAAGTGATTTGCTTCCTGTTCTTTTTTGATGGACAAGATTATCTGTGATCATTTGTTAAGCCTTTGGAATCAGTTTTTTAACACACTGTTTTGGATATTTTAATGATTTTTGGCATGTTCTTGTAATTTTGTGCTTCACCTATAGATCCCATCGGGTTTATGCTTTTTCCACATTCAAATGTATTTCCATAAGTTTCTTAAAGAGAATACACCATTTACTACTTCCCTTTGTTTCAATAGGTTGATCCAGAGCTTGCTATGGCTGAAGCAGACAAGGTAGAAGATGATGAGGACTTGAGGAAGAAGCTTTGGCTTATGATTGCTAAGCATGTCATTGAGCAGGAAAAAGGAACCAAAAGGGAGAATATACGAAAGGCAATTGCTTTTCTCAAGGAAACTGATGGTCTGTTAAAGATTGAGGACATTTTACCCTTCTTCCCAGACTTTGCTTTAATTGATGACTTCAAGGTAGGTTCTACTGGCGTAATACTTAACTGCTTCAAATATTTACTGATTTTAATCCTTTAAATTTATTCGCTAGAAAGCTGTATTATAGCTTACCAAATAAAGCCTTACCTTGAATATATCTGTTTATCCTCAGAGGTAAAATAACACAAAAAAACTGTTTCTGATCAATGAGTAGAAGTTTATTTGGGTAAAGTCAAAGAAAATAATTAGAAAGAAAGAGATGTGGAATTTAAGAGCAACTGCTAGGTCTCAATGAGAAGTTCAATGGTCCTGCATGTGCCAGTTGACAACACATGTATAAAAAGCAGAAGAAGTTTGAGATTTTGATAGTACCTTGCCTACCATTCTTTGATCTCTCTTTTACAAACTCGATCACGACTTCGTTAATAAATTTATGATTGGTTCAGAAGGATTCTGGAAAATACATTTTTCTTCCATTTTCTTCAGAGTATAGTTCGTTTCATCAAACAAATCCTTGTGTTTGGACAAACAATTTCAGTTTAATAACGAAGAACATCAAGGTGTTTGATTTCTACTCCTAGTGAAGAGTTGTTTGAGCTTCAGGATTTTCTGGTCTCGTTGCACAGTAAGTTACCAATTGATAAATTTTGTTTTGGTACTAAGATCAATTGATTGATTTTAGCATTAGTATGTCAACCAACAGTACATCGGGTCACCTTAAATCTTTATATAATGCTACTTTTAGTGCTTATCTAAACTAAACTTTTAGTCCTTGTTGTTACAATCTCATAGATATTATAGAATATTCGAGGATCTTGTAAATATAGTATAACTCGATATACTCTCGTAATTATGTGTTTTGATTCTTTTCCCTTCTTTGAATAGTACACCTTAGCTCTTTAAACCCAAATGGTTTGAGGGAATAATGAAGTTGTGTTATCATTCAAGCTTTCTTCTTTCTCTCATGAAAAGGGTCTTAGTAAGACATCCTTGCGGTGCAGTAATCAGTGAATCCAAGACAGTCTTCGTGCCTTGTTTCCGCTGATTTATTTCAGGCTGATTGCATCACTTTTTTCTCCGGTAGGTGTTCTGCTAAAACTGATACCACCACGAGGTTGAGGAAGCTCCAACAAGAAAAATCTAGAAAACCACTTCGCGAACTTGCCATCATGCGCCGGCTGATCCTACGGCTCTGGCTCGTCTGACACATGTGCCAGGCATGTGAGACCATTTTCAGCCATCTTTTGGAGCAGATCTCTTTCTTTGGGATTTGTCCAGCCTTTTTGAGTTGCACTTGCTATTCTTCTGCAGATTACGATCAATGGAGCCCTAACCTGGCCACCTTAGACTTGTTTCCCAGTCATGTTTGATTTATTTGGCGATTTTCCAGCCAACCTTGGTCAACTAGTAACTCTCCAGTAATTGTCTAGCCTACTTTGTGCAGATTTTCAGCACCTTGAAGGTCGACCTACCAGTTCTCAAATTCCGTTTTGTTTGGCTGATCTCTCTGTACTCGATTATCATCACTGGGATCAGATGCTTTTGGCTCCAAATCTGTTGGTTTCAATACTTTGAATATACGGATTTAATACTTTGAATATCAGATTATATGAGTTCCTTCATCACTAAACATGCATGTAGACATCCTCTGAGATTGCTTTTATCCTTTAGACAGGTCATAGCGTTACTTGTTTCTCTCAGCCTTCTTCTCCCTGTAGTTGGGTTATTGGTTCAGGAGCATCTAACCATATTTCTGGTGATGCATCTATTTTCACTAATATATCTTACACATTCTCTTCCAAAAGTCGCAAATTGTGAATGAGTTTCAAACCATGGTAACTGGAACACTGTATACATCACGGATCATTGGTACCGGGCATTTATTAAATGGAGTTTATCACCTTATCCTTCTTAAAAGACTCATAGTTTTAGTAGAACTCCAAATTAGAAAATAGAAATCAGAGAACTCTAGATGGAAATTATCTTCAAATTAGTCCCTTGGAATAGAAACAACTGAAAGAAATAACAGATCTGTCTCACCAGAAAACCAGGTCACAATTGTCACTGGCAACTTGTGGTGGAATTGGAACTAGCGACGCTTCTATATGCCCACACATCCACCTAAGCTTCCTCACCTCTGCTACCTTCATCTTCGGATGGTGAGAGTTCTTGATTGACAACACTTAACTCCATACAACGAAGTTGGTCTAACCATGACTCTATATAACTTAGCTTTAAGTTTCAATGACACATTCTTATCTCATAAGACACCATGCGAGCTTCCACGACTCTTGATACCATGTAGAATATGAGAAAGAAATGGTTCTTTGTATTTCCGTATGTCTTTACATCCCATGAGAAAGGGTATTTATAGAAATGAATCTTAATTGATTAAGGAAACACAATGTATTGCAATAAAAAGAAATATCTATGCCTATAGTTACACTAGAAGAAGGAAAAATAAGTTAATCCTAAAATCATGCTAATTAATTAACAAAATCACATACATATTAACCAATATGGGTCACTAAGAATAGTATTATATAAAATAACTATAAAAATAAATACTCTTTAGCTATCAAACCCCAATGGCTAAGTTATCTCAGAAATTCTCTTCTTTCTTACACATGTTATCTTTTAATTCTGTAATGATCACTTCTATGTTCAACTGCTTCTACATTAATCTTTTTCAACAATTTTGTAGGAAGCAATTTGTTCATCCTTAGAAGATTACAATGAGCAAATTGAAAAACTAAAGCAGGAGATGAATGATGCAACCCGTGGTGCCGATAACATTAGAAATGACATCAGCGCTCTTGCTCAGCGATATACTGTAATTGATCGGGATGAGGAATGTGGGGTAATGTTCTCCTGATGTTTGTTTTTTTGCCTTTCTTTAGCATTACCTCCATCAGATGCTTGAATATTTGTTGCTTTTGCATATGATTTGATTCTGTCGCAGTCTCGCAGACTTGAGGATAATATGTGTACCCTGCAATTTTTTTTTATTGTTCATCATATCTGCAATATATTTTGTTTCCAAAATGCTGTACATGCATTGTTGTGGTTTTTTTTCTTTTCTTTTTTCTTTTACTAAGCTTCACTCCTGTATTTTCTTTTAGGTTTGCCGGCGGAAAATATTAAATGTGGGTGGTGACTATCGAATGACTACAGGTTATATGGCTGTTGGACCAATGGCTCCTTTCTATGTCTTTCCATGTGGGCATGCATTTCATGCACAATGCCTGATTGCTCATGTGACGAGGTGTACTAATCAAGCTCAAGTAAGTAGCAGAAGAGTGTCCTTTCCTTCCCAGCTTTTGCTTATCATTTGAATACTGGTTGTACTGCTTTGTCTTCTTGTCTCTTCATTTATCATATACGAGCACATGTTTATTTATTGGCTCATCTGTTTTTTCAGTTTTGCATTATTGATATTGACAAACCATAAAAATGATCCGTCACTTTTGCTTAGTGCATTTCTGACAACCGAAAGAAATAGGTTCTTTGCTTAAATATTCTTTTTCACTCTTCAGGAATTGTTAGATTTGACGCTAGGGGTTGGGATGATGTTGGTATAAGGTCTTACAACCTCCTGGCTATGGCTGAAGTCTTTACTGTTTACCACTAAACCAATGCATCCAGATGGTTATTTCGCAGGTTGCCAGGTTTTTGGAGAAAGTAATAGTGTTTCTGATGATAGTGCCTTTTTTCTTTTCAGTGTTAAGATGGTCTTCTCAATATCTATCAGTCTAGGAATTTTGAGGAGACCTTGGTTTAACATGTTTTTATGGATACGACTGGGGGCTTTTAGGCATTGACTATGAGTTCTATAATTGGCGTAGTTGGAAAATGTCCTCCGAATCTGGGTGAGTAAACACCGATTCCATTTGTTGGCTTTCATTTATAAATTGCAGTTGTTAGGAAGGAGATGAAAGAATTAAGGGTAATTTTCTGTAGAGTGCAGTGGACAATGGGATTATAGTTCCATGGTGGATAGTGTAGCAAAAGGTTGGTGTTTTATTGTGGTGATGCAAGTTATAGTTTCAATGTGGAAATTTCTCCCTTTTATTTCGGTTTTCCAGTGTGCGGTAGAATTGGGCTGGTGTTGCCTTTCAGTAACTGTCACTAGAAAAGAGGAAGTAGCACAAAGTGGTATTTTAAGAAGCTGAAATCATGGAACAATTGATAAGTAACTTAATAGACTTAAATAGAGTGAATTGCAAGAGTTGACCTCAAGTCCCAAATCTTTTATGTTACAGTATATACCTAAGTTACTAGGACTCGGCAAAATCACTGCCGCACCCATACTGACAGCGCACTGACATGGGTAAGCGTGTGGAATGTGTGTCAGATACGGTCAAACGAGATCGGGTGTGTTGACCAACAATTCAGATAAAAAAATTGAAATTTTGATATCTCAAAGTCAAAGTTAAGATTTGAATAGATCGGGAACAAATACCTTCAAATTTTCTGCTATATAGTGATTTATACTAGTCTTTTGTGTCCTAAGAAGGTTTTTTCTTGATAAATTAGAGTAATGTACGTCGAGAAGTTTCTAGAAACTTCGCGTGGTACCAAATGTCTCGTGCTAAGCACACATTAGTGTATGAATTTGTGAGAGAGAAGAGATGTGGTGCCGTTTTGGAACTGAATTAGGGTTCTTCATCGTTTTGTTTCTTTGGCTGCTTCTTTCTGCGTGATTGGAGAAGAGGGGAACGTGGGGTTTTGGAGAAATACGTTGTTCGCCGGGTCAGTCATGGTTTTGGGCCAAGTTTTGTTATGAACGTTAGGCTAAATTTGGCTGAATACTTGGACATGGATAATGGTCCATAACATGAGTGAGACCAGGTCCCTTGGAGTCTTCTTATCAAAATTAGAGTAGTTTTTTTCTTGATAACCGAGAAATCCGTCTATGACCCCCAACACCCATATTTTATGAGATATTGTGATGGAAGAGAAATCCTTGCAAGAACTCCCTGCAAATGCTTTCATTTTCCAGATGAAAGCATTTTCAAACAGGACAAGATTATTGAGCGTGCTCTTTAAGCACAAAACCAAAAGAAGAAAAAGATCAATATAAAAAAATGTGAAAATTCAAAAGAAAAGTAAAAAAAAATCCTCGTGCACAAACAGCAGAATCAGAAATTTAGGAACAATTTTTTTAATATTGCAGCAATTGAAGCAAAGGAGGATTGTTGAAAATTGTTTTCAGTTACCACAATAGTTTTCTTTTTAGCAAAATAAGTTGCAAGTTTTAGGATGATTTGAATTTTAAATTTCTATTAGGAGAGTGGCTTGGTGAAGATATCTACAAGTTGATCACTTGACTTCACAAAATTGACAGTCAATCTTGATGTGCTTAGTCTTCTCACAAAATACTGAATTTGATGCACAATGTCAATAAAACACAAAGTGACCAGCTCCACTACAAGTCATGCCAAATTCCTTACTTACTGTGTCGTACTTCGAAACCAAGCTTGAAAAGACTGTTTCAGACTATAAACTGACATGAACAAACGACATAAAAGGCTCTAGACTCCCCCTGAGCTACTAAACAAGATGGTTGCTCCATATAGATCAGTGTGGAGGAAAACATTTTTAATGTGCAACTGATTAAAAATCTAATGTCGAACAACAACCATAAATAGAACAAGGCCGACATAGGCTATTTTAGCCACAGGAGATAGAGTATCACTGTCACCAGAAAGACACACGGAACTATGCTAATTAGTTCCAACATTTCCCCTTTGACATTTTTTGAAGAGTCCTGAACAACATAGGTTCTACAGATTTGTTACTGTTCTCATTTCCAACAATGAGCAAATTTCATTTCTTTAATTAATGGGAAATATCATATATGCATAAATCTTAGCATTTGATAAGTCGTCCATGATGGTTCCAAATATAAGAGCTCAAATATTAAATGTCACTTTATTTTTTAATTTTATTATCCTTGTTCCTAATAATTGTTAACAAAAAGGAGATCTATTGCAGTTCTGCTTTTCGGTGCTGGCCAATTAGTTTTTCTTTTACTAACAGGACTACAATGCATATGCCTAATCTTGCAGTCGATACTTGCAATTATACATATTCCTGATAGGTCCACATCTGTTTCCTCTAATACCATCTTTTACGTCTTTGGAAGAAATGTCTTTGCCTTCTGGAAGTTACGTTGGTTGACAGTCTCTTTAACAATTTCCTTAAATGATACTGCAGGCTGAATACATTCTGGATCTGCAGAAGCAACTTACTTTACTTGGGGCTGAACCTAAGAATGTTTCAAATGATGGCTTGTCGGAAGAACCGCTAGCTAGTGTGACACCTATGCATAAGGTTTGTCTTATGCTTGTAAAATATCACTTCCTTTAAGTGGCCACGTAATTATAAAATAAGGTTTCTTGCAGTTGATTCGTATGAGCTCACTCCATGTTGATTCATGTAGCCCTAGTTTTATTGCATTCCGTATTTTATAGTTTGCCAAACTGGATTTTCAGATCCGATCACAGCTGGATGATGCTGTAGCTAGTGATTGCCCATTTTGTGGCGACCTTATGATCCGAGAGATTTCCATGCCGTTCATCTTGCCAGAAGAAGCAGAAGAATCTGAATCCTGGGAGATAAAGCCACATAATTATCCTAGTCAGAGAAGCCTTTCTTTGGCTGTGTGATTTTGTCATCTGTTAGTGCAGGTCTCTCCCTGCAATTATTTATTTGATGTTTCCCCAGAAAAGGTTTAAAAAAAACAAACATGTTTGAGGTGTCAAAAACAACTGCTTGTTTGCTGTGTGCTAATTTATCAGGTTTGGTTGTAATTATTGCAACCTGAAGCTAATGCAAGCAACAGAGGCTATGTTGTTTGTAGGGGCAAGAAATTGCTCGATGATATTTCACGAATCATTGTGCACCAAGCATCATCTTGGAAAAGAAGTGCTTATTTTTATTTTCTTTTGCGTACTATATCCATTGTATCATCTTCTGATAACCTATGTTCCTCCAATTGTTGTATTATTTATGAAATATAAACTTGTCTTGAGAAAAATATGATCACGTTCTTTCAGATTTAAAAAGCTTCTATTAAGTTTTCAGTGTTGGCGTCAATTGATGCAAACAGGAAAAGAGAGTTATTTTGTCTTCTAATTTCTTTGTATCTTTCTGCTAATGTTTTGTTCCCCAAATTCGCAGAATATAGAAATGTCCATTTTGGATGTGTTCTGTAGTGAAGAATATATTTTCTAATTTTTCCCATCTTCGGTTGACAACATTTTTGAAAAAAAAAAATGGGTACGAAATAAGTTATTTAAAATGAAGAAATTTGGTATAATGTTAGGTTAACTGAACAGTGATAGTCTATTAGGTGTGTCAAAAATGAATCCAAACATAAGTAGCTTGTCCAATTTGCTCGGAATTTTTAGGGGTTAGGTTCAAGATAATCTGAATTTGATTCAATCTCAATTCATTCAACTCTAATTCGTTTTAAGAGAATCCTCAATTGAATCTAATTCAATCTTCAATTTTAATCAGTCTTAAAATCCTTTATTAAGATATGCTTCCATATTAAATTATAATCTATTTAAAATATTTTAGGATTTATCTATCCATTTATTATTTTCTAAAGAGAAATCTTAAACTGAAATTCAAATTATGATTATAAAAGTTAAATATCATGTTAAATTACTGAGATTAATCGGATCAAATTGGGCGGTAAAGACTCAACCTCTTTTTTAGCTCATTTGAATTCATTCTATTTGAGTTCAAAGTAAACTTAGACGGATGTAGACCCAATTCGATTACTATTTTGACTCATTTTAATATCTTCAGTTTCAACTCAACTTTGTTCATTTGACGCGCTATTTATTATCCTCTCCCCCTATAGGTTAATTAATATATACTTCAATATTAAGACTGAAAGTAACTATAATAATGTTCTTACAATGACTTACACAGGTTTGAAACGTTTCTTATCGTGAAACTAATCCTACAAGTTTAGTACATTACAAGCATTCAAAAGACAACAACACACATATAGCACTTCTTCATTTGATCAGGTCCCTTGCTGTATTTTGTGTTTTGAGGCTTGATCACTTCTCTTTATTTTTGTGAATGAATGATCCAGTTATTTGTCTCTTGATTATATCTATCAAGAAGATCTGTTCGACCACTAGGCAAACAACCTCGTCCATTTCTGTTGTTGAAGTACTTTAACTGGTCAACTCATCTAAAAGTTTAAGTTGTTAGAGAGAGCAGGGCACACTTTTATTAGTTAATTGTATTCTCAACAAGAGTAAACCCGCTTAGTTGAATCCCAAAATAAATTCTAACATTATAGAAAAACTATATACGAAAAAAAGTGTGTCGCATCTTAACCTTCACAGCTCAAAAAGAAAGGGAAAGAACAAATATAAAACCCTTGCATCAGATACAAAATGGTTGATTCAACATTATGTAATTATGCCATTTTCTTTACTCTTCAAATCTTTTAAAACGAAATTTATATAGTTCTTAAAAGTACTATAAGTTACAGTAATTGATAATTCAAAATATTTAAAAGATATATGAAAAATTCATGATCAAAGATAGACTTGTTTGAATCTCGAAAATTGAGATGTTTCACATAAATTGGAACAGAGGGAGTAATAATTTCAACCTTTATTTTTGGTACATTTAACGGTATCAACTTGTGATAACTAAAACTTGAAAACTAAAATGTCTACTAGTTTAATTAAGCAATATATTAGTTCTTTCCATTTCTTGCTCTATCTGTTTGTCCATCACCTTTAGAATTGTCTACTAACATAGTTTCATCAGCTAATTCCACATCTGTCCCTTTGCATCCTTCAATAATCTCTTCCAATGGTTTATATTTATACAATGATGCACATATAAGATAGTATACAAAATTTACTACTTGTACTCCAGCCATAAGCCAATAAAAGTTTTCAAGTCTTCCTCTGTTGAGATTCCTATCTGGTAGCCAATTCCTTTCTTTTCCAGTATACTGATGAACTAGAGTTACTATAAATGTACCTAAGTAATTTCCAAACGACGAAGCTAACGAGTTGAGTGCAGCTCCAGTGCTTCTCATGCTTTCAGGGAATTGTTCAATGAGAAATTCAAGGTGTCCAACACTCATGAAGACTTCAGCTACGCCGTGAAGGCAATACTGAGGAACCAACCAGAAGACACTAATAGGAATGACATGAGTCATTGGTTGATCTAGTAAGTTATGATCTGCAGCTGCTTTTTTACGCTTGATCTCAGCTAGTGCTGAAGTTGCAGTAGCAAGAATATTAATGGCGAATCCTATTCCCATTCTCTGTAAGCATGTAACACCTGATTTGTGTCCTGTAAATCGACGAGCAAAAGGAACAAAGAAGCGCTCATAAAGCGCTAAGCCAATGAGCACCGTTAGGACACTAAAAATAGACATGCTGGCTGGAGGTATTTGGAAGCTGTGGGATAGATGACGATCCATACTTCGCGCCTGTTGGATTGTAAAGCTGCTTACATGTGAATGTGAAGCAAAATGTAACATCCCTGCAGCCCAAATCGGCAGCATCCTAAGGATGCATTTTAGCTCTTCCGTTCTATGCACGGTAGCTAGCCTCCATAAATTTGGCTGGCATGTCTCTTTCATGTCATTGCCGGTTACTACAGCTGCTCGATCAATCCACCTTAACCAATTGGTTATATTAGTAAAGCAATAACAGGGTCGATTTCTCACATGGTCATTCAACTAATAGTTATTATTTTAGAAAGTCATCTTTTTTCTTGATTTCCAACTTTTTCTTCACTAAAGAAAGTGACTTTCTGAAATAATAACTATTAGTCGAATAACCAACTTAACAATATAAGATCTATATAAGTTCTACACCAAATTAACTAAAAGAGCATAATTTAGTGTACTGATTCATTTTCTTTGCAAGTTAATTTTATCTTTTAGCTATTCTACATATCGGCGTTCATCAAACGTTACTTTAAATCACCTTACTTGAACTGATTAGTATGCAAAAGCCTTCCATCATGTGAGATAGCAGAATCAAGCTCTCTGTTCTCATATAAGAGACGATCATCGTCTGGAACAACGACTTTTCTCTTCCTCACGGAGGCAACAATAACCTGTGTCAATCTAATTAACGGACTTCCTCCTGGTTCTACTTTTCTGTAAAATGGAGATCCAACAACAAACGCGACAACAGACAATGCCATAGCAATTGTTAAAAGTCCAAGACCCCATCCCCAATTTACGTTATCTTGTATATAAACGACAACAGTTAATGCAGTTAACGTAGCCATTGTGACACAGAAATAGAACAAATTATAAAAGTTCCACTTTCGCGATTCTACTTTAGATTTCCTCATGTCTAGTTGATCAGCAGCAAATGTAACTACACAAGGCCTAAGGCCTCCTGTACCAATGGATGTCAAAAGTAGGCAAATGTAGAGTGCCCAAAGCTGCGAATTCGAAGCTTCTTTGCAATTCTCTTGAGTTGGACATGGTGGAGGACGGAGTTGTGGCATGATTGCTGAGATAGTTATGCTCACCAGTCCCTATACATACATACACATCTCAGAGTAAGATTTCCATTGATACAGGGGACTCTGTATGGACAAATTCGAATAGATAAACAGCAAAACCGTTTGTTACGAATTATCCTAATTCATAGTTAGTTCTTGCTCAGGCTAGTAACATATTCCTTAAATCCAAATTCCGAATGGAAAATCACAAACAACTAACAAGCAGGAGCCATTAATATCCTAAAATAAAAAAATAACCAAAGCTTTAATCCCAAGATTTGTTAACAACTTTTATATAATTACTTTTTTTTTAGTTCGTTTTAAAAAAAATAGTAATACATTTCTATATAAAATAATAATTAAACTATAAAATATTAATTTTATCATTAATAAAATAATTTATAGTGACACAAATTTCTATCATTCATTTTAGATCACAAATTTTAAAAATATTCCTTTCTTTCGAGTCAAACCACCCATAAAATGGGACAGAGGGAGTAATTGATTTTTTTAATATCTTTTTTTAAATGATTATTTAATCAATCTATATTATCTTTCGTGAGACATATATAATACTTTAAATTTGTCAAATCTCTTCCAATAATTTTTTCATTACAAAAAGATTATTTTTTCTGCAAATAGTACTTGAATTTTAATTATTTTTTTAAAAAATCTATAACCTATTATTGTTTTGCTTTTTTTTTTCAAAAAAAAAAAGCTCCTTTTAAGGAAATGCCATGTATCTACTAGGAGTGGAAAAGAGTGGGTCGAATCATATGGATTTGCCAAAAATAATAAAATGTCTAACCAATCTATTAAAAAAATAGGTTAATCGACAAATAATATGAATATTCATATAATAATTTCAAATTCCCCCCCAAAAAAAAAGAACTCATAAAAAGTATTAAATAATGTGAATGTCTATACTATGTATTTTGATATCCATTTTTTCAATGAATAATTATATTTATTCTATTTTATTGATTAGTTTGAGATAGGGAATAGAGGCATACCATTTCATAAATAATGGAACCAACAATAATAGTCCAAAATCGACCAGCAAATGAATCAGCAACAAGAGCACCAATAAGTGGAGTGAAATTTGAAACACCACTAAAGTTGGCTAGGGTGTTGGATGCTTTTATTAAAGGCACATTTAGCACTTGTGTTAGGTATGTTATCAAGTTGCTATGAAATCCAGCACCCACAAATCTGTCACATACTTCATTTGCTGTTCAACAACAATAATAATAATTAATAAGCATTCTTAATTTTTCATACATTTCAATACTACAAATATGTCCTTTTGCTAATAATTTAGCTCACATATTTATATAAAGATATGTGAAGGGACAGATATCAATTTTAAATATTTTAAAGAACATTTTCCATTTTAAAATAAGTATACTTATCTTATTCTTGGATCAAATCCCAATGAATAA